TAGGTTAAACCGACATTCTAAAAAAGATCTTTCGAAACCTAAAGCTTTGGTAAATATTTAACGAAGTTTCGCTGCATATCTCTGCACGATCAATGTTCGATACAGAAATTTATTCCCAAAACAGAAGCAAAAAGAAGCTAGTATAATTTTTGGAAAATTCATCAAATTCGAATGAATTTTAAATAAATTTTAAATAAATAGTTTAAAAGAAATATGCATCGCATATTTTATTATTGATAGTTTTGCAAATGATTTTGGCGAATAAAGCAGCTGAGATATAGGTTCGAATTTGAAATAAATTTGAAATAAATATTTTAAGCGAATATGCAACTGTATATTTTATTATCGATAATTTTGCAAACGATTTTGCGATGCATTTTGTTATGGCGAATACATAAATTGAGATATAGGTTCGAATTTTAAATAAATTTGAAATAAATATTTTAAACGAATATGCAAGTGCATATTTTATTATCGATAGTTTTGCAAACGATTTTGCGATGCATTTTGTTATGGCGAATACATAAATTGAGATATAGGTTCGAATTTTAAATAAATTTGAAATAAATATTTTAAACGAATATGCAAGTGCATATTTTATTATCGATAGTTTTGCAAACGATTTTGCGATGCATTTTGTTATGGCGAATACATAAATTGAGATATAGGTTCGAATTTTAAATAAATTTGAAATAAATATTTTAAACGAATATGCAAGTGCATATTTTATTATCGATAGTTTTGCAAACGATTTTGCGATGCATTTTGTTATGGCGAATACATAAATTGAGATATAGGTTCGAATTTTAAATAAATTTGAAATAAATATTTTAAACGAATATGCAAGTGCATATTTTATTATCGATAGTTTTGCAAACGATTTTGCGATGCATTTTGTTATGGCGAATACATAAATTGAGATATAGGTTCGAATTTTAAATAAATTTGAAATAAATATTTTAAACGAATATGCAAGTGCATATTTTATTATCGATAGTTTTGCAAACGATTTTGCGATGCATTTTGTTATGGCGAATACATAAATTGAGATATAGGTTCGAATTTTAAATAAATTTGAAATAAATATTTTAAACGAATATGCAAGTGCATATTTTATTATCGATAGTTTTGCAAACGATTTTGCGATGCATTTTGTTATGGCGAATACATAAATTGAGATATAGGTTCGAATTTTAAATAAATTTGAAATAAATATTTTAAACGAATATGCAAGTGCATATTTTATTATCGATAGTTTTGCAAACGATTTTGCGATGCATTTTGTTATGGCGAATACATAAATTGAGATATAGGTTCGAATTTTAAATAAATTTGAAATAAATATTTTAAACGAATATGCAAGTGCATATTTTATTATCGATAGTTTTGCAAACGATTTTGCGATGCATTTTGTTATGGCGAATACATAAATTGAGATATAGGTTCGAATTTTAAATAAATTTGAAATAAATATTTTAAACGAATATGCAAGTGCATATTTTATTATCGATAGTTTTGCAAACGATTTTGCGATGCATTTTGTTATGGCGAATACATAAATTGAGATATAGGTTCGAATTTTAAATAAATTTGAAATAAATATTTTAAACGAATATGCAAGTGCATATTTTATTATCGATAGTTTTGCAAACGATTTTGCGATGCATTTTGTTATGGCGAATACATAAATTGAGATATAGGTTCGAATTTTAAATAAATTTGAAATAAATATTTTAAACGAATATGCAAGTGCATATTTTATTATCGATAGTTTTGCAAACGATTTTGCGATGCATTTTGTTATGGCGAATACATAAATTGAGATATAGGTTCGAATTTTAAATAAATTTGAAATAAATATTTTAAACGAATATGCAAGTGCATATTTTATTATCGATAGTTTTGCAAACGATTTTGCGATGCATTTTGTTATGGCGAATACATAAATTGAGATATAGGTTCGAATTTTAAATAAATTTGAAATAAATATTTTAAACGAATATGCAAGTGCATATTTTATTATCGATAGTTTTGCAAACGATTTTGCGATGCATTTTGTTATGGCGAATACATAAATTGAGATATAGGTTCGAATTTTAAATAAATTTGAAATAAATATTTTAAACGAATATGCAACTGTATATTTTATTATCGATAATTTTGCAAACGATTTTGCGATGCATTTTGTTATGGCGAATACATCAATTGAGATATAGATTCGAATTTTAAATAAATATTTTAAAAAAAATATGCAAGCGTATATTTTATTATCGATAGTTTTACGAATAATTTCACAATGCACTTTGTCATGGCTTAAATATTAAAATATAAAATTAATAAATTTGAAATAAATATTTTAAACGAATATGCAAGTGTATATTTTATTATCGATGGTTTTGCAAATGATTTCGCGATGCATTTTGTCATGGCAAATATATCAGTTGAGATATAGGTTCTAATTTTAAATAAATATTTTAAATAAATATGCAAGTGTATATTTTATTATCGATTGTTTCGCAAATGATTTCGCGATGCATTTTGTCATGGCGAATACATCACCTGGAAGGTAGGTTCCAATTTGAAACAAATATTTTAAACGAATATAGTATTATGCAAGTTTATACTCTATTAACGATAGTTTCGCAAACGAGGACTAAATAATATCAATTTTATTATTAATTTCGCGATGCATTTTATCGATGGTAATTGGGGCTATAAGATTTCGAATAAAATGAACGATTGTTGCTAACTTGCTCAGTGTTTCGACCAAGATATAAATTCAGTTAGGTATCAGGTAGAATATCTATATTTTTGGACGGTGCTCAGTCCGACTAAAAGTAATTCACTGATTAAAACCAATATATTGATCTCCTATACTCCAAATTTTTCCAATTTTCTCTTTAATAAAATTCTGTTACTTTCCTACATGTGTTCTACATCAAGAAATAATCGATTGACAGGACCCAATTTAAGAAAATTTTAGTATTAATTGATATTAATTACACCAATAACAGCGATGAATTTTCACACAAATATTCGTGGAATTTCTAATTACCTGAAAATGAAATCGAAGTCGAGTTGCACTCGACGAAGGAATCCAGATGGTGAATAACGCAAAACCGACACAGAAATACAGGAGATATTCGGAAAATTTCACCACTCTCGGGAATGCTCGCGTTACATTTATATGTTGCATCAATTCTTCCATATTGCACAGTTTCCTCTAATTTCACTCGTCTACATATCACTCCATCTCCCGTGACACTTTTGGAAATTGAAGTTAAAGCGAGTTTTCATCACGAAGGTTCATTTGTTTCAGCGAATCGCGTCGACATTTGTGAAACAAGCTGTACAAAGACGATAAAGTTACGTAACTGCGAGTTTAGTCAGCCAGACGTAAAAGCCATTGTAGAGAAACTGACTTGCGACCGCGAGAAATTTCGAGAACGAGTCAGGTTTTATCAGAGATTTTATTTCCAACTGTGGAGAACTGCCACGACTATTGATATCAACTTCTAACTGTCAAGAGAGCAAAGCGTTGCGAAGTCAGGGTACAGTAGAACTTGTTGGAAGTACAATGACAGCCTCTTTCTCAATGTCAGTGCGAGCATGAATGCCTGCCGAGAGAGATTCCTTTCAGCTTTTAGAAGCGACAACTTGCGACAAACGTCTTTATATCTTTCAGCGGCTTTAGAATCTTCGCGTGGCTTTTTGGAACACCTGTATTTGCTTAACAAGTCTCAACGATGGTTTTCGAACGTCCGACCGCGCGAGCGCAGCGATATTTTATGCGAATCGTCCATTTTTATTTCTCCTGCGAGCAAATACCTTTCCTCCACTTTTCTCCGCTCGAGATAAGTCTCTCGTTTCACGTTTGCTGCGATGATGAATGAAGAAGGCTGAATCGTGAATTTAAATTATCACACTAACCCTTCCGCTAGTATAGGTGACTATAGTCACCGGTCATGGAATGCTATTTACACATGACGGGTGACTATAGTGTCACTGGGTATAAAAATTGGGCCAAAAATTAAAACAAGTGCTTAGCTCTCTTTGCAAAGAATTGCAAGCACCTTTCACGACTCATCAGCCATTCAGATGCGATTATAGCATTGTTATTTAGGGTAAGGCTAAGGATATTTCATTTACGTGATATTTCTGACGATTTATGGAGTATACCTAGCTTCGTGATGATATGAAAATTCTAATTAACCCTTTGCAGATGGAACGGTTTTGAGTAAATCGTACCGTGGGGCCGAGCCGCTGCCATGACAGTCATTCAAAACTATGCGTCCATTTCTGCCTAATATGTTAAGCGCCACGCCGGTCCCAAGGGACCGACGGTAGACTTTCCGATCAGGCCTAGCCGGTCCGTACGGCCCGGAAGGGCCCGCATGGCAGCTAACTGTGGCGTAAACGGAACGGCACGTAAAACCGGCGTGGCGTTTAACCACTTGCGCTATAAAGACGTGCCACGCACGTCGAGATGCTTTTGTTTCAAAGCCACCAGCGACGTGTATACCACGTCAATGTAACGCCTTACTGCATGTTATATTGCAGAGCTCGGCACGGCAACCGGAAGTTAAATCGTAGCGCAAGTGGTTGACGTGTTAACACGTTAAGTGCCATGTCGGTCCCCAGGAACCGGCGCTAGACTTTCCGTTCGGGCCCGGTCAGTCCTCAGGAACTGGTCGCAGATTTAAGATTCCGATTTTCCCCTTTTTGTATTTTTTTTCAAAAGACTTGGTCCCAAATGCTAAAGACTGCGCGCGTGTAATGTTCCTACCTTTGACACACTGCTCTGTTCTACGGAACTCCGCGACCACGGCCACTCGTTAAGACAACGAGTCCCAAACTCGAGTGACCACGAGACAAAGTTGCACGTCCGCGAGTCAAAACGAATATCGTTTTCATGGAATAGGCGCTCAATGTGTTAAGTTTGTTCGAATATCCGAATTTGATCTCGAAGGACAATGATATACAGGGAGACAATGACTTACCAGCATCTCTAGCCCTCTTGCACGCCTGGTACATGTCCTCACTGATCTCTGGATTGCCATCTGCGATGGTTTCGCCAACAGTGACGAACCTCTCTACCGCCAGATTCACGGCTTGGCCGACTCTGGCAACGGCACGGAGACTTCTGTCCGAACATAGCGGACGTTCTCTGTGCGACACTAACGTGGAAATCTGGAAAACGAAGAGAAATGAATTGGCGAGATTGCACCAAGTTCCCTCTAGACAGGGAACATCTAACGCGTTCCACGACTCTTGGCTCGTCGATCATTTAGCTGCTCGACGGGGACGCGACTTTCGTCGGGTCGAGACATTCTTTGCTGTACCATTTCACCCTCTGCGAGTTTTGAAATAGGATATTCTCACGCCCGCGAGAAGGGAGAGGGTCGTGCATTTCAGTTGAACGAGAGAGATTACAACCAATCTATGGTAGAAAATTGTCACCGAATTGTTTGGCCAAAAGATCGGGCTATTAAATTAATATCGGATCAAAAACTATCAGAGAAGTAGGGAAAAAATTGTTTGAAAGCGGAAATTGACATTTGCTGGAAGTTAGAGCAAAAAACGAATCGTCCAGCACTACGTTATTCGAAATGTTACAGTTCACGGGAATCGTTTTATAATCAGATTTCGCCAGTGAATAAATCAGACAGTCTAACATAGCTTTTTCAATCGGATTGCAATCTCTATCGAAATGTTTATTTTTCATTGGAAATGAGTTATGGAACGTATTAGATTCGATTAAAATTCGTAAAAAAGGCATAGTCTTATAATATTTAATAATAATATACAAATTCGTAAAAATGGTGCAGTCCTATATTATTTAACCTGTTAACTGGGGAATAAACTTTTGTTCAACTCTTTTCACAATGGGGACCTTTTGCTTCATAGTTGTAAGTAATATCATCACACCTCAAGTAATAAATGAAAATAATTTTTAACTTATTTATTTTATTTATTTCGACAAAATATTTTGTAACGTATAATATATAAATCAAATAATTTTGATGCAGAAAAAATGAATTGAACGAATTTAAATAATTATTTCGTAGTATGATATTAGTAATATCTCACCTATCTCACCTCAAGTAATAAAAGAAAATAATTTTTAACTTATTGATTTTATTTATTTCGACAAAATATTTTACGAAATATAATATATAAATCAAACAACTTCGATGTAGAAAAATTAATCGAACGAATTTAAATAATTATTTCATAGTATGATATTAGTAATATCTCACCTTAAATAGTAATATCTCACCTATCTCACCTCAAATAATAAAAGAAAATAATTTTCAACTTATTGATTTTATTTATTTCGACAAAATATTTTGTAACGTATAACATATAAATCAAATAACTTCGATGTAGAAAAATTAATTGAACGAATTTAAATAATTATTTTGAAGTATGATATTCCTTGAAACAATATGGTATACACAAAGTAACACCACAATCTCGATTCTTTCTTAAAATATTTTAAATAACACAATTTGCATCTCATGGTTACGTTTGCTTTTGAAAAGTCCGATGATATGTAATTTGCAAAATGTCTGTCAATAAGTCTAGTCTAGTTTTGGTGTCAAAGAAGGACGTCCTGTACTAGTAGATGACGACTGTGGTCCATCTCTATATTGCGAAAACGTAAACAATATACTCGCATAGAACCACGCTAGGATTTAATAGATAAGAACTACATAAAACTTAACGCGTTCAAAATATTACGGCAAATTTCCATGACGAAAAATATCGTTATGCCCATTGCAATAGTAATTCGTGTATGACGAAATATTTCGTCATACCCAGTTAACAGGTTAATAATAATATATAAGATTATTATCCTATAATACAGACTGTCCCAAAAATTCTGGTAAATTAACCCTTTGATTACTGTGAACGCCTAAAGACACTCAAAAATTTGTTGTTTTGCTGTTAAATTCTAAGTATATATAGCAACAATTTAATACAGAACACAAAGAAATAAATAATCTTGTTTTAATGTAGTGTCCCTATAGTGTTTCGATTATTATTTGAATATATAATAATTTCCCAGAAATGCATACCTAACGAAAAGTTTCACCATTCTCGGTATATATCGTAAATGGATTCGCACCTTATGGTATGGCTAATGCGTTTTAAAGTTTAACGTAGTCAAAGGGTTAAGCAAATAATAATCCCAAAGAAAGAAATAATATTTTTTTACTCAAGGTTTCATTTTCGAGAAACACGAGATTGAAGATCTGTCATGTACACGTGTACTAATTTATTCGACACATTTTTCAACGTAGAATCATTACTCGGTTCATTTGTTGCTTCCAACCACGATTTTAGGGACATCCTGTATTTATTATTTAACCTAGATATTAGCGTAACGATAAATATTCCAGCATTATCGATAATTTGGTACAAGATCATAAAGAATAATTTACGCAATATCTCTGTTAAACTGATCACGGCATCCTCGTTATCCGCATTATCGTTACTCTATTAATTTTATTATTTCATCATAGCGTCCAAACGGCACGATGGAAAATTATGTCCAACGAACCTGAGCAGTTAACGAGAATAATGTTACACATTTGCCTGGCTGAATTCCAGGCTACCATTCTAGGCGTGAATGAAACAGCCATTTAAAAAGCAACTAGTCATGCTGATTAACCCCGATAAATTGGTTAAATTTCTACGAATATAATATATGAATTCATACATCACGCACAAAGGCCCCCGTATATTCTATAGAGATATTTCATAGAGACGAATGAAGTATGCAGTTAATTCGCGGCGCAAAAGATTTATCGGCCATTTCAAGTCGATCTCTAAACGAAGATTTACGGATGATATTTCATATATTCCATAAATAAACGTAGCTGAAAATCAAAACGATTACTGCAGTTTCAAATTCATTTCCAATTTCATTATTTCACAACGATTCCATCCACGAACGTTTCCCTTTAACCCTTTTAGTGCCGAGAGAAAAACGGGTGCCTATGCGAAGATAACCGGACGAATTTACTAATAAAAACCAAACTAAGAATGATACTTAAAAAATTCGAAATGCAGCATATTACCGAAGAAAGGGAGAATAATGTAATGCCAATTGTGTTTCGATATTCATTGAAAATCGTGCGAATAACATCGATATAAAACACGATGAAAAACGTAGAAACAAGTTTCTCTTCTAGAAACAATATTTGCACATAGTAGTAGTAGTTTATTATAATCTTTGCCTTTCGGATACAGATGACTTCCAGCTTTAGCTCCATATACATACTTTGTTATCTCGTCTTAATTTTTAGTGCTCTTTCAGTCTATCTTATATTTAATGCCTATTCCTGTAATAACTCTAATAACTCTGTTTTGTCCTTTATTGCACTTAGAGTTCTTTGGTCTTTCCTCTATTTACATCCTTTATCGTCTTCTCTTTGGTTTTCGTCCCTTTTCTCTACTATCCTTTTTAGGTCCGCTAATCCTTTTCCCCCTTCGTCTAGAATCTCTCCCAGACTTCTTTCCCCCCTCTTTCCTCACATTCTGCCAGGTGTTCATACGTCTCATCTTCTCTGTGACACAGTCTGCATATCCTGTCTCTTCTGTCTCTCCAGAGGTGGCCGCATATTTGTGCATAAGAATAATCATCGTTTGATCACAGTTTTATGTAGCTCACGTAGTACGAAGTATAAGTATTACATTTTCGATCATTTTTAATAAAATAACCAATATCAGTCCTGAGAACGAAAGGATACCCGAAAACAATTTCTTAAATTCTTTTGCAATGAAATTAGACCGTTTCAAACGTTTTATAAGTTTATTTTGAGATAGAGATACGAAGAATAAGGCGCTAAAAGGGTTAAATAAATACAATTTACGAAAATTTCCAGCTCGAATAGATTTTCCTATCTCACGAACAAATATAATTTCAAAAAATTTCCCGAAATCCGGCGATCTAAGTTAAATATCCCAAATATTATTTCCCCTCATAGCCTTCGTTTACCAACTACATTATTTCGTTCGAAATAAGCGAACCGGAGGAGCTCTAATCAACGTTTCCAGCTACTTTTCCGCGACGCTTTCCCAGCACTTTCGCGTTCCAGTTACGAAGGAACCGGTGTTGGTCGTTAAGAATTGATTCGGAAGATTAATGACAACTAAAGAAGGTTATCCAGCATCGTTCCGTGCTCTTTACTCAATTACTTCGCCTTGCCCTCGTTCAAACATTAACGAGAAACGTATACGTGGAAATGTGTATACAGAGAAATATCTACACTGACATATACACGTGGAAATGTGGACACGAAGCGCCCAACGCAACCCTGAATGTCATCGATCTCGAGAGTCTACGTCGGCCAATGATGGCGGGGGGCCTGGGAGACAGGACTCGTTACCAAGCCAGGACCCAGCCAGTTTTAATTAATGTCGCATCCACGCTGCACACCCCTGGAAAAGAAGCAGACGACAACAAACGACATGCAACCTAAAGCTGTCTGCAGTGGGAAGCAGCCGCGTTCGCATTGTTTCGTCTGCGAGCTAACGACCAGACATGTCCTCCTCGTCCCGCAGCCGCATCCGCGTTGCAAATGGCGAACGCGTATCGAAGGAAGCGGCAAGGGGGTAACCCCGTTAGCCGATCCGTGGCTGCAGGCATCGCGAGAGCCACCCTCCCTGTACGTCGCTCATTTTCCGCACAATTGGACAATGCATTTTAGCCGACGTGCCGTTTAAACGATTTCGCGAGCACGAGCTGGTAGACGAACGCGCGGGGAAAACCGTGAGCGGACGAGGGTGGCAGGACAAAGGCAGCGTCGCGAGCTGAGAAAGGATCGAGTCGCGGAGCGCGAGGATCGAAGCCGAGACCAGGGCAGAACTACGCGGAGAAAGGCTAAAGAAACGTACTGTCCAAAGAAATAAGGAGAGGAGGATGGAAACTGGGACAGAGTCGGTATAATCGCGGAAGGAGAAGGAGGTCGCGAAGAGTGGCGAGCGAAGAGAAGAGAGGAGAGGAGAGGAGAGGAGCGAGAGGCTGGCGTAAAGAGATAAGAAAGCAAAGGCGGAAGGAGAATGGAAATAATGGATGAGCCAAAGACCGTGTTATTTGCATGCGAGGTAAAGGGTGAAGGCAGAAGCGATGAACGGGGTGGAAAGGAGGAGGAGTATCGGGAAAGGGACGAACTCGCGGA